AGCAGTAGTTAATGCCTTTGATACAGAACCATCAAAAATTTTCCGGATTGGCCTTATCTGGCGAGGTCTTATTATCCCATGTCTAATCAAACTATTGTCATGCCGCTTTTTTATCACATTCCGGACACTGTGTGAATTCTGGTTAGTCATACTTTGGAATCTTTGAAAATCCTCCGAAGCTAGAATCCTGCCTAAATCCATCCTAAATCTAGACTTACTTTCCTTGAACTTAAGTAGCTTATGCCGCTCAGTCCCGTAACTGTCCTCTGATTTCTGGATGGATGCGTGGTAAAGCATTTCATTAACCATGTCAAAATGATACTTTTTCATTAGGTTGTAGAACCCGGGACCGATACCATAAAATTTTAAACAATTCAAAAAAGTATAAAGTCAGAATTACTTACAAATGTTTTCTTTGTCTGGATGTAATCAGTGGATTGTTTGGCAATCTTACTTCCATAGTTTAATCAAAGTTCTGAAGACCAAGATAGCGTTGTTTTTTGTACGTTCGCCGTCTCTTTTCGTTGTATAGTAGCCATTTGACCTCGTTTTCGAAACTTGATCATTTTTGATGGAGGACTTAGATCAACGTTTCCAGCACAATCGTCGTTGAGTGGTGTGAGAAAGCCAGCATGTGATGTAAAGAGGTATCATGAAATCCAATCAAACGAGCACATCATAGCACATTTAAATAAAAAATTAAGAAATTGTGATTGTGAAGAGTTGGTACGAGGATATAGGGGAGATGAATACTCCAGGACAGAATAAAATATACCACAGCTGTTTAGTAGACAATTGGGGAAGGAATCAAGTTCACTTGTCTGTTTGGCGAATTGTAGTGTGGAGCTAAGTATGGCAAGGCGTTCTAACGAGGCTGACTACGATACCTGCGAAACGTCTGGGTATGTAGAAAGTTAACGGTCAGACTCTGGAAAATATCATGCAAACTACAATCTCTGGACAATATGCGTTCTACTTAGTCTTCCTGCCATTAAGACCTCATTGCAAAAACAAGGTCAAACAACTACGATAATAAATATAGCTTATCGTTATCGTAAATTTTACTTTGCTTGATCAACAATCACACCAAAGATTATGATATGGAAAATTTCCTGAACTTCATCGAAATTCCCATCTGCCCTATATTTCAAGGGCACTTTTGGCAATGCGGCGTATTGATTAAGGCGTTAATATTTCACGTTGCACTGTCATGGCTATAGTCCCACTGATAGCGTTGATAATCCTAGACGAGGTCGAAACTAAAGTCCTCTCTGGACGAGAACACCTTTTGAGAAAGCAAAGCTATGTGAAATTTAATAGAAGCTTTAGCTCTACTCATATTTTTGTGAGAAAATTCTACTACAAGTCTTTCATCGCCTTAAAAGAAATAGGGTGTATACATATTATATCACTTATTTACTTTGAGGCTCAAAACCATACTAATAAACGAACAACAGCCACCTATTGTTTGTGAATGCCTCCATAAAAGATATTGTTATTTTTTTGGGCCTTTATCAAAAATAACTTAACTCAACTGCTATAATTCGTCAAAATGTTCCTTTATTTTCTTCTTTCCTCTCACATTTCTACTAGTTTATCGATGTCAAAGCCTCTTTTGCCAGCAATAGCTACCTCAGATATCTCACAATCTGGCTCATCTGCTACCTGGCGTAGGCAGTATCTTTCAGATTTACCGTTAATGTCCCAGGATAATTAGTTCTTTTATTCGAGGGATATTTTCTCTTAAACCTTGTTTTCTAAAACTATACAGACCTTCTCTGTAGTATTAGATAGTTTCCGCCATCCTTATCACAGTAGCCTATCCTCTGCCTCACTCGGATACTCCTCCCCAAAGTTCTTGCTGGTGCTGCGCTACTTCATCGCTGGCAACTTATTTTTTCTGAACCATATTGCAAACAGTAAAAACTCAAAAATACTATTTTTCTATTTATGCATATTAATGCAATGGCTCAATGTTTTTATTTTATACATTTTACTAAAATAAACCGTTATTCTTTTTACTTGAGTCCTTGTATGCCGCAATGCTTCTATTTAGCCGCTAGTTCTTAAATAGTGAGGATATTATATTATTAATAATACCATCCTTATTCTTATATTACTTCACTATATTTTGATTATTATTCAGCCTTTATTTTAATTTGCGAATTATTTAGAGATTAGCAACTTAGAACATATATTATGCTCATCCCTGCAATACACATCCTTCCTTACTCCTCTAGAAGTTTATTTTAATATAAACGCAGGCAAGCTGACACAGCTGAAATGAATACAGCACAATCTAGAGTGTCTAAAAACTCAAATGTTAGTCTATCAACTTTTGCTTCTTATATCGAATTATCATCACAAACTACTTATGAGTTATGCACCCCTCCTCTTTAACTAAGGACCTATCACTTGTTTTTTATCTTTGTCACTAGAGTATTCTTCTTTTGTAGGTATATATCTATGTTGTCTGCCTTTTTTCCTATTATATGGTGAATGTCCTTATATAGTTCAATTTAACATTTGTTTACACGTCCAAACCATTCGTTTTCTAGGAGATTGACCTGACCACAAGAAAATTAAGGAAGAAGGATGTAATGAATAAAGATATGCATTTGAAAAATTTACAGTCTGCTCATTACGTGCTAATGAGCACCATGAATGATCCACATATTAGATCCGGTTACTCTTCTAAATGAGACTCTCAGTAACCGTTGATAGGTGGGGATACGCATCTGTATCCAAATTTGCCTTTATTTAACTAATTTTAATAGCAGAATTGCAAGATTAAGAAGCATGTGATAGTGCAGAGAATGAAAGGTAACTTGAAGCTCCTGTGTCTATATAATTTGTGAGCTGATTAATCATAACTCGGAATTTAATGTCGAAGAACTTGATGATATTTGCCATATAGTAGTAGAAGATAAACCTTCACATCTTAAAGGACCTTATGCAAAATATAGGAATAACAAGAAAGAAATTTAAGGTATGAAACGAATGCTTTTTAAATGACAGCGGATATTTACTAGAATATGAGACCAAACTAATGAAGTTAGGCAAACTACATATGAACTTTCAATTGTTCTTTGTGGAGTCTCAGCTTGTAAGTTGGAGGCATATAGTGCTTAATAAAAAAGGAATAAAAGAAAAATAGGATAAAATTTGTCCCAATAACTTACTGGTTTTGAAAATGGCCAGTGAAGGTCTTATTTAAAATAATCCTCTCCATGAGACGCCACGTTTTACGGTGATAATAGCGTACAAAGTAAGAGTTCTGTATGTTCATTTAAAATATATAATTGACTGCGTAAAGCTATCAATCGTATTAGGTGCTATCTAGGCCTGATGGTAAGGCCTATTGTTATTTGCTCTGTATTGTGCAATAGCAGACTTACTGAAATTACACGAATCTAGAGATTATGCTGCCATTTTTCGCTTAACTTGATTAACAGTCGTTATCCATCCCTTTATTCTTCTTGTTATCAAATGCTCCTGGTGTCTAAATGTTTAGCAAAGTATTCATGAGAAAAAAGTGAAATTCTATAAAATTCACATAATGAAAAATTTAGTTTATCGGATAATGCATTACTATAAATGAGCTTTTTGCAAAACATGTTTATTCTTAGTGATCTACTATAATAGACTACTAAACTTAATACGATGCACTTCCAGCTTTGTCCTACAATTTTATCTATTGATCACACTAAATAGACAGATAACTCACAACCATCTTTAATTTACAATTGTGCTAGCACCAGATATAATCCTGAATGTCTGCTCATTGGTAGGGCTATTCAGTCATAAATGATGGCCATTATAGATAAATTAGGAATCGTTTTAGTACTCCTGATTGACCATGATTTACAAATAACAACATCCTTAATTTTTTATTATATCTTTCGTTATCCTCTTATGTAATCGAACTTAATGCCAATGCCTAATTTATATTATATTATCTATTTGAGTTTATAATTAGCGCTTGTTGTTATTAGTCATTCTGGTTATTTTTGATATTTTTTAATCTTTTAATTAAGTTGTGTGCAATGTAAATTTAAAAGTAAATTTATTGTATTATTTTTTCGATATAATTTTACAAGGAGGTCGTATTATTTTGAATAATTAAGTAAATGTTTCGTTACTTCTTTAAAATATAATTAACTTTAGACCAAGCAAGATATCGCTATGCTTATAATAAGCTGATTCACTTTAAACCGGCTGCTTCTATCCGACGTGATTCTGCCTTCCTTCTCGCCTTTCTTCTTTTGGCGCATTTTACTCCTCAATATATCATTGTCAGTCTTTACTTTTCCCGGCTAATAATGTCTGCGCGATCGCGGAAGACGAAGCCTGTAGCTACAGAGCCTAGTACCGTCTCATCTACAAAAAAAACCACAGAACGCACTCCCGTTTCTGACAAAAATAGGTCTCCAAGCCCTCTCAATATATCCAGGTCGGAGGAAAAAGATGAGCTGGCTCATCTAAATGACCGTCTAGCAGGATACATTGATTATGTTCGTCAGTTAGAAAGAGACAAGGAACGTCTCACCACCCGGATTAAATCTGTCACGGAAGAAAGGCTCGGAAAGATTGATGACATGAAAAAAACCTATGAAGATGAAATAAGATCTCTGCGGGATCTTGTTGATAGCCTTGGAAAAGATAAGGGGGCTGCTGAAATTGAGCTTAAAAAATCAAGAGATGATATGCTAGATGCCAAAAATAGGCTGTCTAAGCGTGAGCAGGAGATACGCAATCTTCAGAGAAAGCTAGATATAGCAGAAAAAGATCTTTCTAATTATAAACAAGATCATGATCGATACCAGGTTTTTTTATTCGTTTAATTACTCTTCAGATCATGAAATCTGAGTTTGACGATCTTGAGAAAAAATGTTTTTCTGTCAAGAAAGAGTTAGATGGGGAAACCAATCTTCGCAATAACCTTGAAAATAAGATTCTAGGTTTAGTTGAGGAGTTGGATTTCAAGAATCGTCTCCTTGAGGAGGTATTTTATTTCTCTATATAATCTCTTCAGGAGCGTCAAAAAATTGTTCATAGAACTATTTCTGTGGAAGAAGAAGTAGAAGAGCGCAGGGAAGCTGAATTCCAAAGCAGATTGGCCGATGAATTGCGTGCAATTCGCGAACAAACAACAGATGAGTTAGCTTCTTATAAATTCGAATTGGAGGAGACATTCCAGGTAACCCAACGTTATATTTCTTCCAATTGTTTATTTTGATAGCACTAAGATTAAACGTTTTTATTATAGCAAAAAGTTGATCAATTACGTTCTGCGTCACAACATGCCTCCACAGATATCACTCGTATTCAGAGTGAATTGTCTCTAGCCAGAAGGAGGGCTGATGATTTAGCTCAGGAACTTTTGCGCAAGGAGGCTGAGGTTGGGATATTAGGTCGTCGCGTTTCGGATTTGGACCGACAGTTAGAGAGTGAAAGAGATGACAACGATCGTATGCAAAGGTCGTTGCGTGAAGAAATATCTCGCATAAAGCAACAATTGGAGGAAAGCTTCAAGGACTTTACTGACCTTATGAACACCAAGATTGCTCTTGATCAGGAGATTTTGATGTATCGAAAGATGCTGGAGGGTGAAGAAACACGGTGAATATTTAGCCTGTTAATTTTATATCTTTTCATAGTTTTCATTTTATCTTTACGCCCGTTATTTTATTCACAGACTAAATATTAAATCTCCATCTCGGCCATCGCCATTTAACATTCGTCCAATGAAGCGTCGGCGTATGGATGGTGAAGATTTTGATGATGATACTTCCCAACTTCCTCTTTCTGGCTTGAGCTCAGTCTCTGGTTCCTTATCTAGGGGACGTGTTGCCTATCACGTCACCTGCAACTCTATTGGTCCAATTGAATTTGCAAATGAGCAGGACGGATTGGGTCGATGGGTCCGTATTTTAAATAGTTCAAAGGAAGTACGTTTCGTTGTGTCTTCTAGTTTCTCTTGTTTTTATTTGGTTGGTAAAAGACAATTTTAAATGTCTAGGAGGCATCTATCGGCAATTGGACCCTTAAGCAGCTTTCAGATGGACAGGAAGTTGCTCATAAATTCCATCGTTCCTTGATCATAAAGCCAGATGCAAAATGCTCTGTAAGTGTTGTCAGTGTGATTTTTATTATGAAATCCTTATCCATTGGTTCAATTATTGTTTAATGTATTTTACCTTAAAAAGATATGGAGTAGCAGCGTTGATATTCCGCATAACCCGC